TGTATAAGAGACAGAATGTGAGAACTGAGAAGAATAATCGACTACGATTGGACAATTTCTTAAAGCTTCATTAAAATTTTAACTATTTTAAATTTGCTACTGTAAATAGCGCAGACTTTCGATATTTACAAAAAAAACCGAATATTAATATATCTCAAAACATCGGCAATTAATAATCGATTATTTGAACAAAAACTATCGGACGTATCGATTAATCGATTAATATCGCGCATTCCTATCATTTATGTTATGATCGTTACGCTAAGGGAGATAGAGCTGGTAGAGGACGCAAGATTCGATCGAGAGCGTTGAAAGCGCAGAGAGCGTGCCTTAAGGCGAGACGAACGATAACTTGTGTACAGCCACCGATTTTACGTATCGGATCGATCGCAGGTAATTATTACGATCTTCTATTCCGCCCAAAATACGGGCATGTAAAATAGCGTGAATCTTTCTAACCGTGATATTTATTCAATAAAGCTTGTCTAATAGTGTTGCCGTCTTCGCGCTTGTCACGATCACAGTCACTGCGTATCGTTTCATGTTTGTATTTGCGTCATGATTTAGCATTAACTGTCACGTATCTAAGTCTATTCCGCATCGCCTTGTGTCGTTTTTATATTTTTTTGTTTTGCTATTTACGAGTACTTGCAAGCCGCAAACTGTTTATCCAAGTCGCACCGCAAAATTCATACAAGTATTACTGTGTTGTCGCATTCCGATTCTTAACAGCAGGTTACCTTATTTTCTTATGGCACCCGCTCTTATGCGAGTCCGCGACACGGCCAAACTCTTGTGTGATGAGATGCTTAATAAATCATTACGGGGGGGGGGGGCGAGTTTCGTCACTCAATTAAGAAAATGATGCAATACACGGACCGAAACGAAACACATTCCGATCGAGCTGTCACAACGAACTTAACGGCAGGGCCTTAACGTTAGACATTTGGTGCCTAATAAAATATTAACAAAATAAAATACAGTCATTGCAGGATTTGAAGAGCGATAGAGAAAGAGTTGTTGGTAATTATTATATGAGAAATAATTTCTGTATCTCTGTAGTAATCGTTGCGTCGTGATGTGTTGTGTCAATCCTTTTCTTTTCAACAATGAATAAAAATATTGTGCGTGTCACGAACCTAGAACACTTTCGTATATCGTTCTATATAGAACTGAAATTTCGAGTGAAATTCGGTTCTGTTAAATTTTGAATATCTCCTGACGGTGTGTCTGTTGTCTCAAGCCGTATAGCATTCCAATATCTTTGCTTGTCCTTCAATCGTTTTTTTTCCGTGCTCTGGCAGACGTGTCAATCCGTGTTTACGTTTGCAATCTTTGTGCGCTGAGAATCTCTACGCGTGTTTTTTATTCTCGTTATTGATTATTTACGAACTTTAAATTTACATTATTAAAATTGTTCGTTTCAAATCGTGTTTCGCTATTGATAGTTTCAAAATCTATTGTTGAAAATTAGCAGGTCAGAGAAAGAAAAAAAAATCTATAATAGAGAGGCTTATTACGTATTCTGTATTAATGTCGTATAACACCATGTCGCTTATTACGTATTCTGTATTAATGTCGTATAACACACATGTCTGTTACACCTGTAATCGTATACTACGGCTGGAAAGATTCACGTCAAAAATTTATTAAAGCCTTATTCACCCCCCTGACTGAGCTGAATTTTGATTTCGCCAGAAATTATCGTTGTCGACTGGATCAATTGTCAGCTACCAGAACCATGTGGGGCGAGCGGATATTTTACCGGATATGGGGGCATGTCGTCGAATTAATTAATAGGCTTATGTTGGGATTCTGGATATATTTCCATGAGATTGTTTCCATGAGATTCATTGAGATTGATAAGCCAGTAAATTTTTGGCAAGACGGACCCGCGCACACCATGATATGCAGGTGCTATGAAGTCCGAGATGTCGGACCTCAAACCGATCACCTACCCAAAACCCGGGATGGGGCGGTTCAGACGGACCCGCACCCCAAGTATCCACCCCTGTGGATGGTGCGCGAGAAGAGACGCCGCTTACTCGCTCGAGATCCACTACTGTAGGTATCTGGACCCAGCAACTCTCGACCCCCGGACCCCCGACCAGCAACGTCGCAGAACTGCACGCCGAGCTCATCCCGGAGTAGCGATATTCCACCGAATGACTTCTGGAACTGCGGTGATGTGGCGCACCATTATTCCAATTACCCACAACCCCGAAGGTTGCAATTCTGTTATGGATGCGGAAGAAGAGGAGTCACCATAAGGACTTGCCCCCATTGTAGAAGAGCCTAGAGAGACCTCGAACTTTATCATCCCGATCGCAGGCATGATTTTTGAAAGAAATAGAGGCTGTCGAGTACCGAAAGACCCAAAAGGAAAACAATAAAAACTAAAGTTATAATAGTAATAATAATAATAAAAGAAATTTATTTTTTTTCTCTTCGACACACTTTTCCGTTGAGTGACTCTGCAGGAAGACGACTCGAAGCTATTGAAGGCGACCTTTAGCAATTATTTTTGAAGTTTCGCGTTCCTCTCGACAGTACTTTCTTTTTAACTCCTGTTTCGGTTTTGAGAAAGGAAAGGAGAAAAACGAGCTGTTTAGGGAATGGGTCTTTTATGTTGGGTATTTTGTTTTTGTCGTACTCAAAGTGAGCCTAACCTCGTACGATGAGCCCTGGAGAGGACTGTATATACATAATTTTTTTAAATTTATGATAAATTCACTTCGAAATAAAGGTTTTATTTATAATAAATTCTTGAGATTCACGTCGTAGCACACGTCGTGCTTTGCTCACACTAGGGCTTCAAAATTCGTTCGGATTTGATGGATTTTATTCGGATTACAAATAAATGTGATGCTTTAAATTCGCGTTATCCGGATATTCGAATTTTCGAAGAACCCGAATAATAAAAGTGTCGAATCTAGATTTTGAGTTTCGAGTTAGGCCCACTTTATTTATCTTATTTTATTTATATTTTATTGACGTTACAACATTGTATAGCTGTCGGAAGCGTGTGTGAGACGACGAATTCAGATCCGCATCTGAACTTGAATCCGGATTACCCGAATAATCAGAATAATTCGGTTTTTAGTTTTCAAATCCAAACCGATCTCGGATATCCGAATATTTAGAAGCCCTAAGCTTATACTACTTCCTTTGCTTGTATCGCGTCATATCGAGCGTATTATTCCTGTGAGCTCGTATCACTGAGATATCATTGTTATCGCGTTGTCATACTTGTCTACATGATCGAAACCTATATCTCACTGTTAAGAACCCGCGGGCTGCTAACCCGCGCGTCGCTACACAGAAAATTAACGCGGCACTGTATACTGTACAAAATGTTACATATAATTATATTCATATTCAATAACTTATATTTAAAATTATTTTTCCTTATTAAAACATATTTCCTCGCAATATCCAATTGTAGATTTTTTTTGTTAAGTATTCATAAAAGTTCTGTGCGAGACAAACGATGATTATAATACGTTACAAGCGACCTTCTCTATTTTCCGTTCCGCTACCGGAAATATTGTCTCTGTCACCTCGACCTTAAAATCTCGCCCAACCTTACAGCCTTCAATTATCGGATTATCGACCGATTCGAATATCCGCTGAAATATCGTAGTTGCACGTAGCGTTTATTAAACTCACTGTGTAGTCGTCGTGAGAGCCACGGGCGGGGTGGGAGAGGGAGAGGAAAAAAAGGATGGCGCGCCGGGTACGCGCGAAAGGGCTTGAACTCGCAATCACGCCGCGCGTTACGCGTGCGTTTTCCGTCGCGTCGCGTAAAGGGTTGTTACGTAGCGGCGAATTATAAAAAAGGGTGTCCTTTTGTAACAGGCTCGGTTCTCTCTCGCTTTGGTGTACCTGTCGCCGCTCCCCATTCCCCCATTCCCTGCGTCCCCTGCATCGCTTCGACTTTCTCTTCTCTCGGCCTGGATGAAATATTTAATAAACTCGTTACGTGGGCACCCCGCTCTGAGTTGGCAGCCGACGTAATAAATCGTCAACGAAGTTTTACCCTCTACCTCCTCTTCGCACCCCTGCCTATACTGTTCTTCGCACTTCTCTCTCTCTCTCTCTTTTTTTTTCTTTTTGACCATCTTTCTCACGCACATACCTTCGTGTTCTACAATTATTCTGCGCTGTTTCGAGAAGCCGTAAAAGTTTGTCGGTAAAGTTCAGAGGTCTTGCCAGCACTCCCATCTCACGAAATGAGAACTTGCTTTCTTTTTAATTAAAAACATTTTGAGCGGTTTCGCTTTTCATGTTCGTTATAGATTTAAAAATAGAGTATAAGTAATGCGAATATGATACTGCCTTTAATATGTTGTGTATACACGATGTTCTAAGTTTTTTTATTTTAATATATTCAGAACAGAAGGTGAGGAAAAGTTTGAAAGTACTTTGGAAAATAATTTCATTTCTTTTCAATTAGACTTTACAGTATATTATATTATATTAAAAAATAAAAGAATCAGGATTTTTAATTTTTTCCAGTTTGTATATTACACTTATAATAATTTACATATTTTATTAAACTGAATCCCTAATCTTAATCAAAAAGTATTATACATATGCTTTTGTTTATATAAAATCTGTAATAATCCTGAAAAGATTTACAGAATTTATACGAAAAGGCTCACATCCTCATTTTTACTCTGTTGGAAGTCACTCAATTTTCATATATTTTTCCATCTTTTAGACTTTACAGTATATTGTATTATATTAAAAATAAAAGAATCAGGATTTTTAATTTTTTCCAGTTTGTATATTACACTTATAATAATTTACATATTTAATTAAACTGAATTCCTAATCTTAATCAAAAAGTATATATGCTTTTGTTTATATAAAACATCTGTAATAATCCTAAAAAGATTTACAGAATTTATAACGAAAAGGCTCGCATCCTCATTTTTACACTGTTAGAAGTCACTCAATTTTAATATATTTTTCCATCTTCACATTTAAGAGGGATATTTAGGGATTACATTTTTTAATGAAGTATTTTAGGTAATAAATTAAATTACTTTTGACGAGGAAAACATATCTTTCTTAATCGAAAACGTTCTCATTATGAAGTTTCATGAACGCGTTCGCGTCTCGGAAATGTGCGTTGACAAGGCATGCAGACTGATTGCCACGGTGTGTATATCCGCCAATTAAATCCCGAATCTCATAACGAGGCGACCCGCCGAAGGGTACGAGGACGACGCTGCCGCTCGCGCCGCGTCGCATCGCGCCGGTTTGGATCTTGCGTTATCGCCGCGAGGTGCGCCGGGTCGCGTACAGCTCGCAACTGCAATAAATACAACCGGGGAAGTTTCGGATGTGCAGATTCAAATTCGCGTGTACGCGCGCTTTAGAAACAAGTCGGCTGCGCAGTCACGAAGTCGGCGACCGACGGTGCACACAGCTAGACGATGTTAATTGGATTCGAGTCCATGTCGCGTGCGCTGCCAGCGAAGGAGCCGCGAATTATTCAGAACGATCGCACGCCCGAATTATTCTTGCGATTGCAGCGAAACAACAGTTTCACCGGTCCCTCGACCGGTTATCATCGATTATGAATAAAGAACTTACTGCAACAGAATGTGAACTAGCCCACATTTTGTAAAAACGGAGAAAATGAATTCTAAAGTTTATCATTTTTTAACTTTAGAGTCCATTTTCTCCATTATTACAAAATGCGAGTATGCAGCCCACTGTTGCAGTACTGTTGAAGATACGTATGGACAGAAATGTAAAAAAAAAAACGATTTTTTTTTCTGAAAGAAAAAAACATTTAAAAAAAAACGTGTTTTATTTCATTGAAAAAATATAAATTTGACTTTTTTTCTAATTCCGATATTACGGCTAATTAATTGTAAATATAGTAATTATATAATTATATAATTATATAATTAATTTTAATGTGATCTGTTAAATCTACATTTAACTTATAATTAATTTTAATGTGATCTGTTAAATCTACATTTAACTTTTACAAAAGGAGAATCTTTTTAATTCTTTTTCTAAACAGCTTTTCCTTAAGTAGAATTTATTAATTATTCATTGAAGTCTTTGCTTCAAAATATGTTTCAGAATTAATATATTGGCTTTCTCGTTCTGCGTAAATGTTAAAATGATGATAATTTAAATCTACTATCTATAAAATAAAAAATCATGAAAAATTAACTTATATTAAAGAAAATATAGATATTAAATAGACATTTGAAAAAAAATTTTTGAGAAAAAAACGAGACTTATGTTTTTTTCTTAAAAAAAAACCGTATTTTATGAAAAAAAGTAATTGGTTTTTTTCTATTTACATCTCTAGTATGGAACGACATTCCTAAATTCTCGTCTCCAATACGCCTGAGAATTTCGCGCGTATAAATGGCTAAATGAACTAAAATACATTTTCAAATTGGTTGAGATCAAGTCCTTTTCTCGTTTTCGATGTCGCTCACAAATATATCCTATACCTATTAATTATTTATTCTTTAGAATAATAGCTATTGTTTTACCATAACTGCGACTCAACACGGTACAGAAAATGAAATTTAGCGACGACGCGTTTATGTTTCCGCGACTCGTCTCACTCGGTATACGATATATATATACTTTTCAAGAGAGAAAGAGAGAGAGAGAACGGAGAGACAAACTTTACCTCGCGCGGCTCGCGCGCGAGTGCGGATGCGCAACGGTCTGCTGCGAGGCGCGGCAGACGCGCCACGTAAAGAGCAATTTGTCGCTTTCACGAGTCGCGGGGAATAAACAATGCGTCCTGTAACGCGATCTTCAAAGCGTCTGCCGGCGTCTCGAGCCAGGTCTTGAGGGATGCGTCCCACGTTCTCGCCTTAATTCAACGAAGCTTAACCCACCCGCCCACGAATTCGATACCACGCCAGCCGCAACGAAGAGAAAGAAGAACGAGCCACCGTCCTCGGTCGCGTAACTCGGTCCATTGTTTGACACCAATAGTATCAAGTCCGATCTCCGAAGTGTCTCGAGAGTGGGTTTCCGAAGGGATGATGGATGGACGGCCGATAATAACGATCGCGCGAGCCAGCGTTTCCGTGGACGTCTTGTTAGAGGATACCGTTTCGACAACAGAGAGGCAAAAGAAAGAGAGAAAGAGAGAGAGAGAGAGAGAGGGATGAGCTTCCCCTCGGGAAATTTCTTGTACCTGTTATATGAAAATTGTTTGTGATGAATTTCAGATGGCGACGCATTCCTTATGCATAGCTTTATGCAGGACAGCCCACCTAGATAAAAATATCCGCAAAACTGCTAAATATTTTTGCAGATTCTCCAACAGGTTCAGTAATCTTATTTTCATAAAGAGATTTGAGAATGCAGCTATTTTAATTTTCATAATTAACTGTAATAATGAAACGTGCGAGAATTCTGTAAAGATTAACG